TAATTTATTATAATGTAATGAATCATTTCTTGCACTTGAATCCAATCTGTTAATTCCATATCGAGATAGGAAAGGTCGCAATTTTCGATACTTAGACAAACACCTTGAAGAATAGACACTGACCTACTAAAGTAAACACTGTAAACACAGCGATAATACAAATTTATTTCTAACTCTTATTAAAATATTACTAATTTAAAAGAACCAATAATCAGGTGAGGCTTTAACCTTTAACCTTAGCCTAGCCGGAATTGACAAAAATCCTAAGTGCTTTTGTGTGGCGAAAAGACCATCAGACATGAGGACGCCTACCGACGCCTCGCCGGCGTCGCCGTCCCAAATTCCAACAAATAAACTTTCGTATTAATTAACCCTGAAGTAAAAAGGAAATTTGCTGCGGTTTTTCCTTCCATAAAAATTTTTGATATAATAATCGCACAATGTGTGCTATCTCAGAGGCGTCCGTTACTCAACTTTCTAAACCTTGCAGGAATAAGGAAATGTTCTAGTCCTTCAAGTCTTGTAATTTCAGATTGAACACACGCTATCGCTCGCTATCGGCGTTGATGGATAGATTCCCGAGCTCCATTAAAATTAGAATCTACAGTTAGTTAAAGAACAGCATATTGTTTTATTGGTGTCTATTTTCTAATAAATTGCTTATTACGGCAATAAACCGATCGTTTCTATCGATAAGGGTATTAAAGCGTCAAGACGTGATGCTGAAGAGCTCTGGATGTGAATTAAACATAATTTTTTGTGTTGATAGCCAGCATCCGGTGATACATAATCACTTTATCGCAGCAACAGCTGCACGTACTTTTAATTTTTTGTATGGGAGATGAATGAACACGCTCGCTTTTACACACTCTTTTCCCTGATATTTATTTTTTAAATGTTGTACAGGGCGAATCAAAAATTTCTATCACGAGTGATGTTTCTTGACGTTTCATTTTATTAAATATGATCTGAACATAAAATTAAAAACTTAAAGCTAAAACAAACAAAAAATAGCTTACTGTGGGTATTTTTAAAGTCTTAAATAAATTGCAATAATAATTACAATAAGAACTCAATAACGAAAACTCGCAAGTAGAATGTTTTTTTTTTATTTAAAGACTATCAAGACTTTAACAAAAATCATTTATTAATTTTATTGAAGTGTTGATTTAAAATGTAGTTAATAAATAATTTTTTCAAAGTTTTGGACTTAATTTTTTAAATTTATTATTCTTCCAAAAAAAAATTAATGCCGGTCAAAAATGTTTATTGCAATTTTACCACATTGTCTTCAAATAAAGAGGAATTTGATAACATGATAGATAATTATTACAAACACTTTGTCCACCTTAAATGTAACAATTTGTGATTTTTATTTTGTTTCATATTAATTGTAACTTACTTATTACTTATTATAGTACTGATTGCTATTTCAACAGAGTGTAACATAACTATATTTGCTAATTTTATTTTATTATAATATCGCGGAATTTGTGTATTTTTTACATAGCAGTAATCAACAGAAAAGTCCATTTGGCTTGTAAAATTGATATTAAACGTGTTTTATTAAAACTGCAACTGGATCTATTATTCTGTTACTTGCAACAGAAAATTGCTTGTTTCTTTTTTAATTTGTAAGAAAATTAAATTTCGAAACTTTTTTACTTCGCACAAAATTTAGATTAAAGTCTACTTTAATTAAAATGTAATTGGAATTATTCTATTTTAATACTAGCGATAATTGAACAATAGTACTGATCACTATTTCGACAAAGTGCAACAGTAGCCTACTTGTTTTTTCAATGTTGTAAATTAAAAACAACTCAATGTATTCTTTGCAGATTATTAAATTTTGATATTAATTTTTCTGTTTCTTACAAAACTTCTATATTTACTTAAATTGCGATATTATTATTTTATGCAATCAGTGATGGTAGAACTATACCTAGTGCATATTGATCACTACAGATTATTTGAATCAAATTAAATTTATTGGTTTTTCTTTTTCTTATGAATATGATTGTGATTTAATTGTACTGATGGTTTTGCGGACACCATTCTTATTCAAATTACTGTTTGAGAATTGAGGAACTGCAATGAATAGACAATTCCTTGCAGATCTAGCGATTAAATAATGCACAATTTAATGACATGTCCAATTACAATAGAAAATTGGGTTCACGATTGACCGATGAAAGAGATTAGTTGGGGCGCTATTCCTTAGAAAGTAAAATGTAAGACTATTACTTTTCACGGCTTAGAGCAGATTAACGTTTGAGATAATTAAAAAAATCGATTTTGAAATATTCACTGAACGGAATAGGTGATCCTTTTAGTAAGTGATATTCCTAATACCTATGCTTAATTAAAACACGAGAAAAAGTACGTAATTAATTGACGTATACATAAATATTAAGAAAAGGAAATTTATAGTGGATTTATTGCGTTATGCCCGCATAAAATAAAAAGTCGTAATTATTTGAAAAGTTACACATTATCTCACTTTCTATAAATTAATTTTGTGTCTCATTTACAAAATACATAAATTTTGCAATAATGTTTGCAGCCTGTCGTGTTTGTTACAGAGAGAGTATAAATAAACAAAACACAATCTCCACCTCTCATGTTTTGCTACATACATTTCAATAAACATCAAAATAACCGTATTTCCACTTACATTATTTTCATAGTATCCACGTTGACATTTCCTCGTTCCAATTCATTAATCTTTGAAATGACACAATTGATGCACATCCTTTTTTTTTGTTCTAGCTTAAAATATTATTCTACATTATGTTCATGTCAGAGAATGTGCACGGAACGGATTTCCACCGTCTATGAATTTGCGTCACAATCTGATTAAATGATACAATATGCGTGATTCCTATTTCAGGGTTACGATTGATTCACATTGCAATGTCAGTGGTGTTTTCTCACGAAAAAAGGTATTTTGATTTTGGTCGGTGATAAGAATATTTTTGAAAACGTGTTAGCCTTCACATTTTTAACTTTAATAAAAATTATTGAACAAGATCATAAAATGTAAACCCACAAAAATATTAAAACTGCTGATTTTACAAATAAGGGCACAAAGCGACAACCAAATAAATAAATAAAATTCAAGTTTTATCGATTACCTTCATATTTTTTTTAGATACTATATTGCTTTGTCGCTTTCCATAAAGTTTTCTAATTAAGGAGCATCAATAAGATATGGAGTTCTTTAGATTTGAATAAAGTTTGTCCTATAGAGAGTTTCGAGTTTCATGGAGGGGAGATTATACAAACTTTCAAACTTCTTTTAATGTTCTTTCTTTCATTCGTTTGTGCCATCGATTTTCGCGTAAACTTTAGAAGTATAATTTTCTTCTCTATTCGCATCTTTGATCTAATTAAAAAAAAGTATTTGCCTTAATTATCAAGATTGTAATAAACTGGAAATTATTGCAATAAAAACATGATTTTTCACTTTAGGTGAAATGTGAATTTTGTCTGCTGTCCTACATGCAAATAAGTAAATGGAATCATGTAAAGTTTAATATGTGTGTAATTAAAACGTAATAAATTCAAATATACCTAACTACGAATGCTAATTATATTGCGTAGGTTTGTTTATCCATTTAACGTGTTACTTAAAGATTTGCATTTTAAATAATGTAAATGTAACGGTAGCAAAATAATTTTTTTGGCACAATTACATTTAGCATGAATTTACGCAATTTTCTAATTAATAAATATGTGTGTAAAATAAAAGAAACAAAATATCTTTCAACAAAAAAAACAACTATACATTATACATCTATACGACAGCATTGACGAAATTGGTTGAAAATTTAAATTAGGATAAAAAAACATCAAAAAAGTTCTTTAGAAGTAAACTGGAATTGGCAAGTAGAGCAAATTTTAGATTTTTGGATTTTGAGGACTAAAAAAACACTTATTAATTCTGTTCCTCGTTTTTTTGCTTCTAACATACGAAAGAGAATTTTTATGATAGATTAAAT